CATTCATGCTGCTATAGACTGTCTTTCATCAGCCTCCTACTTTTCGTCTGTTGATTTGAGGTCAGGGTACTGGCAGATCCCAATGCACGAGGAAGACAAAGAGAAAACGGCATTTGTTACACCAGATGGACTTTTTTAATTTAATGTGATGCTGTTCGGACTATGCAATACGCCTGCAACTTTTGAGCGCTTCATGGACAACATTCTATGCAGTTTAAAGTGTGAAGTCTGCATGTGTTATCTGTATGATGTTACTTTTGGGAGCACTTTCTGTGAACAAAACACACGCCACGATTTTGTGCTGAACTGCCTAAGCAAAGCACGCTTGGTGCTCAACTCAAAGAAATGTCGTTTCAGGGAGTGCCAACTGCTCGTCCTTGGACACTTGGTAAACAAAGAAGGCATTCGACCGGATCCCGCGAAGACGGCCGCAGTGGAGGCGTTCTAGCAACCTCACTCAGCAAAAGAACTACTCAGCTTTTTGGGCCTTTGCTCATAGTTCCATCAATTCATTCCTGGATTTGCCAATATCGCACACCCACTCACGTGCCTGCTTCTGAAAGGCGTGCCACTTGACTCCAGAATGTGCATCCGCCTTTTCTGAGTTGATGTTCTTTTTGCATACCTGCCAAGTTCAAGGATTCTGAATCCGGGAGATTTCCGCAGTGCGGGGGGGGGGGGCTGAATTGTTTGCTCCTATTCTTTTTTTGGCACCGAAAAAAAAAAAACCCAAGGACAAACAAACAAACTGCGAAAAACAAGAAGGGGTGGGGAGCCTCAATCGCAAACATCAGCGCTACGGTCGGCTTGGAGTAGCCGAACACACGAAGGTAGGGTTTCCCACTAAGGTGAGAGTCTCAAAGGATCAACACAACTAGCAGAATTTGTTTCCTTAACAACATCTCATGCATGTCTTACTGGGACACATGTGAATGGACGGGACGGCGCTGGCTGCCGCAAAAGCGCGAATCAAAGTTTTGCTTCCTACTAGATTCTTTTGACAGTAACACCAAAACGCGTCTGGCCCCTTTGTTATTGATAGTCTAGGCTGGTGTTTTGCCGTCGCCGCCGTCATTCACCGTATATCTATACTTATCTATATATATATATTGACACTCTAGAAAGGAAAAAAAAGCAGCCCGCGCTCGGTGCCCAGCTCCTCGTAATGCGCCGACGCGCGCTTATATCTGGCGCGTACTTTGCCCCGCGAATGGGAGGGGGGGGGGTATGTGTGTGCCGCGCGCTTATCTTTCGGTGGGGAGAATCGCGTGCCTTCGGCTTTCGCTGGAACGAATGTGTTGGTTGCCGGGCCCACAAAGATATCTTCGGTCTATGCACAGGCCCCGTTAGCGAAAAAAGCGCGCTTTTCATACACAGCGAGGTATAACAGGGACACTTGTTAGTTTGTACTCATCCGTACCTTTGATTATGTATCGAGCATCGCTTTTTTTGTTTAAACAGCGCGTAAGGTGTAAAGCGGTAAACGTTGTTAGTTTGCTCTCGTCTTGAGTGTATTGTTTTCGTGCGTCATTTGTGCGTGACAAGCGCGCTGCGCGTTTTGATCTGCTTGCGGTTCTCAGTGTGACGTTCCAAGTTGTTGCTGTCGCATTCATTGCTTCGCCCTTGCGGCGAAACTGTGACTTTTTTTTTTTACGCATTTACTGCCTTTGGTCTACCGATGCGTGCCCTCGGAGCTCGTAGATCGCTATCGCACCGCCGTGACCACGGTGTTGTGCGTGGTGATTGCGGCAAATGGTAGTTCCGTTTTCAATCTCCATGCGCTTGACTGTGCACGCGCCTTCAAAACAAAGCCGTTTTATGCCGTATACGATCGCATCTGCCGCGGTTTTGTCCGTAGGGTTTGCAGAAACAGCGTCACTTTGACTGGTTGAGTGTTGGACGGACGCACGCTTTCAGGACTTGTCAGTTATACATGATCGCGTGAAAAGCGACCACGGTTTCGTCGACAGCGGTTGTAGCAACGACAATCACACACACTGTAGAAGGCAGTGCGTGTGCCGGTCGCACGCGTACTTCCAAAGCTTCGAGTACGCTGCTCTCGGCCTTCGTTCAGCGATTTCCGTACTAAAGTTCGTATCACCCGCCACGGTTAAGAAATGTGTTCGGAACATTCGAATTTAGGCCCACGAGACATAGTGGAATTTCACTGAGGAATTTAACGAATTCGTATCTGCCGCGGTTTCGCATCACTGATATTTTACTGTACGTTTAGATGAACGCCTCTTAAACTCATTCATAATAAAATGGGGTATGTTCGAAAAGCCTGGAGCGGATTGAGCTGCTTTTTTGTCAAGGCAGCTGGATCACGCACCAAAATACCCGATTTCCAGGAGATTTTCATGACAACCGTACAAACGGAAGAAACGGTTCAAATCCAGGAGTCTCCCCGCCAATCCGGGAGACTTGGCAGGTATGTTTTTGACATCCCATCCTTCGACACTTTGATCCTCTGGCTCCCACAAAACTCCACACATGTAGCAGTGTCAGTGTAGGCGCTGTGCTGGTTCAATGCTTGGATACCAAAGAACATGTCATAGCATATGCAAGTCGCTTACTAAGCAAGTCCTATCGTAATTACACCGTCATAGAGCAACAATGCCTCGCAGTAATCTTCGCAGTGCAGCGCTTCCAATCCTACCTGTACGGACGCCCTTTTACCATCGTGACAGATCATCATTCTCTCAGCAGGTTGGTCAATCTGCGTGACTCATCTGGTCGACTAGCGCGTTGGGCACTCCGTCTGCAGGAATACAACTTTATGGTTTCCTATAAAAGTGGCCGCCATTACGCTGATGCAGATTGTCTTTCGCGACTACTGCTTCCATTGACGAACTGTGACGCGAAAAAACTTTGACACCTACATCGCACCATTGGAACTGCCATACCAATGCCTCAAGACTGAGCAGCAGAGGAACTGCACCATACAGCAGCTCCTTCCTATCAAGTCAAGATCATCAGCGACTCGCTTCTGCATCCGCGACGGGCTAGTGTACAAAAAGAACTACGCTACAACCGGCTCACGATATCTTTTCGTGGTTCTGAAGAGTTTTCGCGTTTCCGTCTTGCAGGCTATGCATGATGATCCAACGTCTAGTCATCCAGGCACAGCGAAAACTCTTTGCCCACTTCAAGAGAGATTTTAGTGGCCGAAAATAAACCAGACGACGGAACAGTACGTATCGAGTTGCAACGAGTGCCAATGCCGCAAGCGCACTATCAGTGCTCCTCCAGGGCGACTACATCCTGTTCCACCCCCTAGAGCTCCATGAGCTATAGGGGGTGGAACCTTCTAGGGCTCTTTCCGCGGTCTTCTAATGACAATCACTGGATAGTCGTATGCACCAATCATTTAACACGGTACAGCTGTTATAGAATTGGCTACTGCAGCTGATGTGTGTTTATTCATGCTGCATTTTGTGCTGCTACGACATGGACCTTCTAAAATTGTTATCAGTGATCTTGTGGGCAACAATTCACTGCAGACGCAGTGGAAGAAATGCTCTATCTAGGTTTCGGCACTCTACGCCATATCATTCCCAAACAAAAAGCCTGACGGAACGAACAGGACTCTCATGGACATGCTTTCTATGTATGTCGCAGCAGATCACAAGAAGTGGAACAGCGTGCTAACTTTTATCGCTTATGCATTTAACACCGCACAGCATGAAACTACCGACTACAGTCCTTTTTTTTTTCTGTATGCTTGGCGGCCTCGTTATACCCCCGATACCGTCTTCCCGCTTTTGAACCACCATAATTCCAGTATATCCCAGATCGTCTGCCGTGCAGAAGAAGCCGGACGTCTTGCTTACCTGCGCACTCTTAATTCGCAAGATCGCTCAAAGGCACGTTTTGACCGTTGACATGTGATGTATAATCGCGGAAAACTTGTATTGCTGTGGACGTCAACTAGAAAACGCGGGTTGTGTGAAAAACTGCTGGTGCACTATGCGGGACCTAGACCATATAAGCGATTTAACTTACCGCGTAGCGCGTTTTCATTCAAATGGCCGACGGTCTGCAAAGACTGAACTTGCTGATATGCACGTTTAAAGCAGTTTATTCGCTTTTTGATAGAAATATACTTTCTCATTCTGCAGGGAAGATTTCAGAAGGAAGAAATAGCAGAGAGTTAGGACAGAACGCACACGTACGAGAAAGGCCTCCGGTGCGCTACACTTTCAAGTCTACCGGTACGTCACAGGTATGTCATAAACCCATTCTTGAACGTAACAGTACCTAGAGTGATGTCAGTTGCTTGCAAATGGCAGGAAGAGCACCCTTGTTACGACATTGCATCCGACCTTACGAAGTCATGACGTATGTATAGGTGGACCGACTTGTCAAGCAATGGAAACATATATCCGGGGAACCGGTAACTGCACTTTTCTTTAGTGACGCTGTCTGCAGTTAATTTCCCTCAAGATCTATCACACTAACAAAACCCTCTCTGATTCACTGTTTTTTCCACCAGCCTACATATCAGCACGCAATGACCATCAATACAAGGTTGGGGTGCCCTTCTGCCATACGAACCAGCACTTCAACTCTTTCATCCCTAGAACATGTACAGACTGGAACCACCTTCCCGCATCGATCGCTTCAATCACAGACGCCAATTCGTTCAAATCAATCATTTTTGAAAGTGCATTATAATTTATTCTAATCCTGCTGTTTTGTTTTACTTCTTATTGATATTTGTTGTCCCACTCCTCTCTGTAATGCCCAGTTCGTTGAGAGTAAATAAATGAAATGAAATGTTGTGGTCGAATGTAGTAAAGCCACTTACACGATTTTGTGGCAATGCAGGCCCCCAAACAGGTGAAACATAAAATGAAATCCACGCCACAAGAAGTAGACGACAGATTTCAGGTATTAAGCTTAAGCTGCATATGCTTGGCTAGTCAGTGGTCGTGACAAGCATTCACAGGCAAGTCAGAGGTCGGTGCCACGAGAGGCCACTTCAACTCGAGCCTTACCAAGCAGGGCATCGTGGAGGCCGCCTTTCGTCGGGTGCCCGACGATGTCGAACGTTTCAGCGCAGGTCACTTCGAGCACGCCTTGCCGCAGCAGCTCCTCGGTGCTGAACACGCTGAAGCTGATGCCGTCCACAAATCGGTGAGGGATTTTCTCGACATCCATCGCCGCCGAATGCGAACAACGCTCAGAATGTTTCAGCGTCGTGAATTAGCAACACTTTCGAAGATTTGAAGCACGCTGCTACTACAAATCACGCACAGCAAGCACATGCCCGGCAGCGCCACAATAAACTCTGGAGAAGAGCACGTGTAGGTGTTCTGTGAGCACGTTCCAATGATAAATTCGGCTACTTTTGGATGGATAGATGGATTGATGTGGCTGTATCTTTTAGATCGGGCAGTGGCTAACGTCACTAGGGCAGAGGTGTGCGCCGACTGGTCGGCGCGCCGTCGCTGAGAGTTTTCGCCGCGCCGCCGCTGCTGACTCGAACTGATCGGCGCGCCGCTGCCGCCGATGTTTTTCATCGGCGCAATCGGCGCGCCATTTATGCACCAATACCAAATTTTCACAGATTTGTCTTTTTCTTTTTCATCTTGATTTATAGCTTCGTTTCACATTTATGTAGCCAGTAGAAAACAGGCTTCTTAGTTATCTTCATCCAGCTTTAGAGACCGAGAGTACACGCCGTGCCGAGAGTACCACTATGAACAGCGGCACAAGTTCGGCGGCCGCTGCATGAAATGTCATATTGGACAAATGGACAAAAAATAAGTGTAACAGTTACAGTAATGCAAAGACGCTGCCATCTTAGGCTTAACATCAGTTTTTGCTGGTTTTCTATGTCGTAATTAGCAATGATTTTGGTCATACAACGTTGAATGTACTGGCCCAGCGTGTTGATGCGTGCGAGTTCACCGTAGCACTATTCGAATATTCATATGGATGCCAAACAGCATCATAATCAATCCAAGATGGCAACCTATGATCGTGCCCGAAACAGGGCGTATACACAGAAGAAATGAAATGGTAGCAGTGCAGCACGAATGCAGCGCGTTAGGTGGAGAACTACACAAAGCCCCGAAGGATGAAATCGAAAGGGAGAAGTTTAATGGAGATTAGAAGCGTCGAGGCATAATACATGCTCGAACCTACTCAGGGTATATCATCACCTGTCCGTGGTGTTAAAGTTGATAATTTTCGAGGATGACCACTCATATGCAGCGTCTCAACATGCTGCAGAAAATACTTGATGCCTTTTAATTCAGGCATCAGATATCCGGGATGAAGATGCCAAGGCAGTAAGATGGCAAGAAAGAGAAAGGAAGGCTGGGGGAATTAACCAGATCTTGGCATCCGGTTTGCTGCCCAGCACTGGGGGTGGAGAAATAGGGGCAAGAAAGGGGGTGTAGAGAGACAGAAAAGAAAACGCATGTGCACTCAGGAGTAGGATGGAACTTAACAGAGGATTTATTACATTCTGTACAGACAGGGCGAGAGATCTCTTGCGAATGAGCTGGGTGGCTCATTATAAAGTGTGCGTTTTGACTAAATCAGGGAATGGTTCCAGAATGCGCTGTTGAATCACGGGGGACACACACCATTTCTGACGGTGCCGCTCACACTCGCTCAAGTCAACGTCTTTGATTGGGGCGTGGCCACCACACTGCACCTGTGACACCAAGAAACCACTGTGGTCGTCACGTCGAACGTCTTATGGTGTCGGAATGCCACCTCACTTCCCGGCTAAGATGGACAAAACACGGCTGGCAGCCCTTCGGTGACTTATTTGACGAACATAGAACGCCGCTCTCCCCCGTCGGCCCAGGCGCCGCGTGTAACAATGCTATATAAGTGGTGAGCAGAGGCGTAATCAGCTTGTCTGAGCCCACCAGATTTTAAAAGAACAAAATAAAATTTTAAAAAACTTGCCAGCAAAAAGTTCACAAAAGACGGCTGGATTCGTCAATAATGCGGAGACAGACACTTGAGCGACATGTCATATATGACATAGTCCAGCAAACATGTTTTCATCACGTAACTTGAACGGACCTACTGGCACTGTGAAAGATGAATAATAATTGTTGTGGACAGTGCTGATGTACTTCTGTTGCGAAGGTAATGCTCAGAATTAACCAAATAAATCTTAACTTTATATTCAGGTCTTGATAAAAAAGTTAGTCAAGTTAGAAAGCTCCTCAAGTGGCTAAGTAATAAATTACTTCACCGTACTTTATGGTGAAGTAATTTGCAAATAAATAATGCAACCTCTGTTTAATCGATATTCAATGACGTGACTGCCATCAACGGTGTGTCGTCGCTATAAAACTGGAACGTTATCTGCGGACACGAGCGGGCGAATGCAGCAGAGAACGAATATGTCACGTAATAAAAGCGATGTGATGTCGCACATATTCACCTGTACAATTCCGTGACCTTTTGCTTGCTCGTGATGTATTCGAAGGAGCTAGCCAAGTCTCGGGTAGAAGTCGAGCAGAGTAGCCGGGGCTGATAAGAGGAACGTTTATATACACTATTTACACACTAAAGGTAGCTATATGTTGATGATAGCATCATGGAAGCGTGATGAGAGCTTCTCAGAGATGGTTCAGAGCGTCTCGGTGCTCACGCTTGTGGTGTACACGTATCCCGAAGGAGTACGGCCACCAGCGTGGGTCCGGTCTTAGCGAGCCGCAGGGCACGCGTTAACCGTCGCCGTGGCGAGAACACGATACTGCTCAACGTCGCAACACTTTATTGTGGCAACACCAAACGCAGTACAGCCCGTTGCAAAAGGGCGCGGCGGGAAAGCAAGTAGGCTTATCCACGCCACGGGCACAAAGTACTACACAGGGTGCCACGAGCACGTCTCCGCGGTAAAGGTTATCCACGGAGACACCGGGACAAAGGGCCCGGTTGCTCGAGCGAGGCGCTCGCGTTGGCTTCGGAGGGAGACGGGTCGGCGTAGCTAGGCCACGCACTAGGACACCGTACTGCCCTTCGGCCGTGAGTACGCAGCTGGGGCAACAAAAGGTGAGCGTTCGCCTCGGGCGCGAGGCGTCGTCGGCGAAGTCCGACGAGCCCCGAGCGACGGGACTCGACGGACGGAAAAGAATGCGTGGCTCACCGTTTGAAGTCCCGGAGAGTACTCACTGCTCCCGACGCAGCGCGCGAAAACCTCTCGGGAGGCTCCCCGCGCGGCGCCACAGTCAACATCCGCTAGCGGGTGAGGGAGTTAAACGTCACTCCGCCCTTCCCAGCGCGGCAGACAGCAAAGGAGGGCAGACATGTCGGGACATGAGAATGGCACTTATGGCAGAAAAGGCGGCAAAGCCCGGGCAAAGGCAGCGGGCCAGTCTCAATTCCCACACGCTTTACGCCCTGGTCTTCCTAAAATTATCTGCAGGAGAAAACAGTGGACAGTTTACAATAATCTGCTAGGCAGCTTTCATGTAAGGTTAGTTTTTCAACCAAGAACTCACGTTCACAGGCTGCTTTTCTCGCTCATTTCGTTTTTGCCATACCTTTTTTTTTTTGAGATCTTGTTGTGCTCGCGTGCCTTCGCTGGAATTTAGAGAGGTGACATTTTGTTGTACTCGCGTGCTCAAAATGAGAAATAAAAGCAGTCTGTGAACGAGAGCTTTTTGTTGAAAAACAAACCTTACAGGAAAGCCGCCTTGCAGATCACTGTAAACTGACAGACTGCATGTCAATTCAGTTCAGGGCAGTCCGAACAAATTGTCGTCTTCATCTCCATCCGCCAAATGGGGGGGGGGGGGGGGGGTTAGTGGTTCTAAGAAGGTGCCTAATTTCTGCAGCCCAGCAGGGAGCAGCAAATAAGGATTAAAAGAAACGAGAGAGGGAGAAAGAGAGAGAAAGTCAAACACTGCCTTCTTTTCAACCCAGGAAAGAGAGAAGGTGCACGTTCAGTTTGTCACACGGCGAGAGAGAAACATAACGTAGGTCACAGTGCAATAATACGCACAACACATCACAGTGCAATAACATTGCATCGCATGTGCAGAATAGGGTCTGCAGCGCTAGGCAGGCTAGGGCTTGTGAGAAATAATGGAAGACTTGCAAGCACCACAGAGTGTGGGAAACATACCTGACGACGGATCCCAATCTCGGCTAATTGTTCAGCGCGTCCTTGGCGCGTCGAACAAATCAAGCAGCCTCGATTTCAAACAGCTCTTCCTAGGCCGTCAGTCAGTCAGGCGTGTCCAAAGAGTTTTTGACGAGGGGAGCCAACAGCCCTAAAGTATTCGAAGTATGACTTTCGCGTTGTCGCCGCTTTTGGCGCACATCGAGAGCGTTGATCCGGAACAAATCAGGGTAGCCTTAGCTGCAATCGTCCCCCGCGTCCAAGCGGCGCCCAGCCGGGGAGGCCGATCTTAACATCTTCTACAGACACACGCACATAAGCACGCACAGTTTCACTCCGAGAGGGAATTGGTAGTGGTTGCAATGACGTACCTAACGTGCATCTACTATAAAAAGGCATGCAGTGTATGCGATAACTTTTTTTTTTGAAAGTCTTGTAATTCTAGTATATTTTCATTATATAGCCGAGGTATGAGGCGGTTGTTACTCGCATTTATTTGGGTTAAAGTACTACAAATATTTATTCGCCGCGCATGACTTCGGGAAATGATACTCCAAAAAAAAAAAAAGGACATCGCTCCAATATTTTTAAAACTAAGTTCGCACGTGGGAGTACTTGTTCTCTGTCTGCGCTTTTCCATGGTTCATGAGTGTTAAGCCCCGCTGCTGCTTTTATAGAATGATGTACGATAAGCCATATCAACGCAGTGACAGGATTTCCTACAGACTACCAAGCATTCGATCACCAGGAATTTTCCCTCCGGCATATTTTGATTGAAAGAAGCGACATATTTTTGCTGAAAACCCAGTTTATGCACTGGGGCCCGGTGCACAGATGTTCCAAATTGCAACTCTTGATCATCGCGAGCGCGAAGACGGCAAGTGAAAGCCTCTATATGCTGTTGTCTGTAAGGCCAGTGTAACGAAACCCTTCAGTCTTGAGGGTGTTGGGTTAAACCATTCACTTTGCCCATTGCTATTTATCATCATGGCGTTTGTCTATTAACTGACTTGTGCTATGTGGAGCGCGCGGCAGTAGTGCCGATGTGCTTTTTGGTGCTGGTACAAAAATAAAACTAGTTTGGATTGCTTCTTCGATGAGTCCTTCAATAAAACCTATGCCAGGGGGCTGCATAGAAGACTATACGCCTGACACACTTGGAAAAGTAAAGCTCATTGTAAGAGACCACTTCTGCTAATTGAAGGTCTTGTAGACCATCACCATCTAGACTGGTGTTCTGCAGA